GCCATTTTTAAATGCTGGCTAGGTCGGACCCCGTGCCGCGCGGCTACACGCGGCACAGACTAGCTAGTTCGGATTAGGAACGAGGTGTACAGGTGTACAGCTAGTTTGGAATAGGAAGCCTAATCCGAACTAGTTAGTCCGTGCCGCATGTAGCCACGCGGCACGGGGTCCGACTTAGCCAGCATTTAAAAATGGCGCCGGCTTTATGCAAATGAAACCCAGGAAATTCAAATCCCGGGCTTCATTTGCAACTCCGTATGACTACATTACCCCCGCTAGTTCGAACTAGGGTAGCTAATGTAGGCATTCGAAGTTGCAAATGAAGCCCGGGATTTAAATATCATTGATATCTTGCTGGGTGCCGCCATTTTTAAATCCCCCTTAGTGCGGACTCCATGCCCGCGGCTACACGAGGTGTAACGGTAGTTCAAATTAGAAAGCCGAATTCGTCCACACTAAGGGGGATTTAAAAATGGCAGCACCCGGCAAGATGTAAATGAAGCCTGGGATATTTAAATCCCGGGCTTCATTTGCAAGTTTGAATGCCTGCATTAGCAGCCCTAGTTCGAACTAGGGTGGCAGTGCAGACATACCCTCACCCTCCCGCTGATCCACTGGTTCCAGCAGCATAGGAACATGTGCAGCGCTTGTCTTCCTGGGGCACCTGCACACAGGGGAGTGGTCTGCTAGCACTGCCAGCAGGGGCCACTGGTGAAGGGTGACATGGGGGCCAGCAGCCACAGGAAGCCTCCAGCCCAAAGAAGCGCCAGTCAGGACAACCCCTCATCAACCCCTCCCCCCAAGACGTGGCCAGGGGACTAGTGGGGCTGGGAGTCCAGCAGTGGGAGGCCCCCACTCACCAGCAGCAGTGGGGAACTGGGGAGAGCAATGGGCCCCAGCTCACTCTGGCCATGGCATTTGGGGACATGTGACCCTTCATGGCCCCCCCGCCCCCATGTGTTGCCCCTAACTGCTGGGACCCAGCGTTAGCCTGCTCCTGTCTGCAGCCTGAATACATCACAAGGGGCAGAGGAACCCACCCTTCGTCCAGCATATAACAGTAGCAGCAGCAGGGACCCTTTTCTCTAGTCTCTACTTACTCTACTTCTCCTCTAGGACTGAGACTGGCAGAACAACTGGGACGTAGAGAAGATGAAGCCAAAATCCGCCATGGCCTAGGCCTGTCCCTCTGGGCTAGTGGGAATCTGGAGGAGGCCCAGCACCAGGTAGGCAGCAGCTCCTGCAGACGGAAGGTCTCTCAGTGCATCCCGGTGGGGTCCTCTTTTCCCCGGCACCTGGGCAGAGATGACTGGTCACTACTCACCTGGGTGCAGTCTCCTGTCCCCAGACACTCTCTTTCTGCCGTGCCTTTGTGGAGCAGAGACAAACATCTCTCTGCTTTGGCCTTTAGGTATCACGCTGTGCCGTGGGCTCTGTGAATTCCCCAGTTTTACATCCTGGCCTGGACCTGAATCTCACCAAATGGCATTTTCCTGCCCCTCTGCCTTCGTCCAGTGCAGTACAGGGGGTGGGGAGCTGCCTGCAGGGGCAGACCTGACTGCTGCTGAGGGCGTGTTAGTCCCGGCTTCTCTGGCCACCCCAGGTTCTCTCCCTGATGTGCTAGTGGCTACACCCTGGGCCTGCTGAAGTTCTAAGTGTTACTATGAGCTGTTCCCCCCCCCCAGCTCTACAGGGCATCAGCGCTGTTTGAAACCATTCGTCACGAGGTGCAGCTCAGCACAGACTACAAGCTGTCGCTCTTTGACCTGCAGACATCATCATACCAGGCCCTGCAGCGAGTGCTCGTCAGCCTTGGTAAGATACCTGAGGGGCCCATGGCTGTGGGGAGCTAGGACTCCGTTTGTCCCTGGCTTCAGGCTTTGACCCACGTTCCAGGGATGCAGTTCCTCTCAGGTTAGAAAAGCAGCCTGGGATCAGGGCTCCTGCGCCTTTTCCCTGCCTCTGCTGCTGCTGAGCTGGGTCTCAGGTTCCCCATGTGTAATGTGAAGCTAATTCCTGCAGGAGCCTCGTGAGGCTGCACTTAACATTTGCACAAAGCACTGGGACCCTGTGATGAAGCCTAGTTCACAGTGCCCTTCCCCTGAGGTGTCACTGCTTGTCCCTCAGCAACATGGCTGAGGTAGGGTTCACTCTTGTGTCTTTCCTGGCTGTGCTGGGTTCCACTGCAGAGCCCACGGCAGCTCTCCTTTCCTTTCCATGTGTGTGCAGCCCCTTCCCTTCCAGGCTTGGGTAGGAGATTCCCTTTCCCAGCCTGCTGAGAGGAACTCTACCTCTACACAAATCTGAGCACCTCGTGCACCTGGCTGTGGGAGCCCATCTTCAGCCTGACTTTGCTAATACACACAGAGCAGTGGGGCTAAATCCCTGCCAAAGCAAACCACTTCCCTGCACCTGCAATCCTCAGGAGGCCTGGGAGAGAGTGAGTCACATGCAGTGGATGTGAGTCATCTGAATGCACATCTGGAAGGTGATCAGGCCGTTGGGCACAAGAGTGGGATAAAACCTAGATGGAAGAGAAGTATGTGATGAGTGTAGGAATTGCCGGGGCTATTTTTAAGAACCCTCTGTAGGGCTCTGTGCTTGCTGCCTTGGTGTTACTACTCTGTGGGTGCAAAAGACTACAAATTTCACTTCTAGTGCTGAGCAGGCTATGTGCTGCCTTTGGGACTCCTGGAGTGTGTCATTCTGCACTGGGGTCAGCAGTTTATCACTGGCAGATCCAGACAGAGCATGGGCTTGCTGAGGATAGAGCAACTGACATGTAACAGGAAGTTGTGGCAAGGTGAACAGCATGACTTTGCAGCAGGAGGGCACTGGACAGAGGCACCAGGAGGCAGTGATAAGAACTGGGCTTGCAGAGACACAGATGCTCACCTCCGACTGACAGGCAGAGAGAGAGAGAGCCTGGATGTTTTCTTCAGCAGCCTGGCTTAGCACTGGCCAGTCTGAACTCTGTCTTCCCTTTGCCTTTCCAGTTCCCAGAAGGACTGCCTCAGGCCGTGTTCTAGTTCACTAATGAACTCTACTCTGTTCTGAAAAGTCTGCCTGGAGCCACAGCAGATACTCGCTGAGCTGCTTAGATCCCCAAAGAGCATGAAAGGCTCTGACTGTCAGTCTGCTTGCATCAGACTCTGGCAGAGCTCACAGAGAGAGTGCAAAGGCTAGTTTCAGGGATGTGGAGGCCATGTGGTCTACCCTTGTGGCGAAGTGCTAGCCACTGCAGGGACAGCTTACAGAGTGTGGGGGTCTGTGACCGAGAGCCTGGGAAGAAGCAGCGCGCAGGCTGTGTGTGATGACAGAGCAGCCAGCCAGGATGCCTGGGGCTGCTGGGGAAGCCCAGTCAGTCTGCCCATTGAAGTGCTGCTGCCCAGCTGCCCCTGGAGCTGCTTTGGACTGGAATAGCTGCCACGTTCTCTGCCCCTTCGCAGTGCACTGCAGTGTCTAGCGCAGGCCTGAGATAGCTCCTTCTTCCCTAACTTGTGGCTCCTCTTTGCAGGTCACCATGACGAAGCCCTGGCGGTAGCAGAAAGAGGGCGAACGAGAGCCTTCGCCGACTTGCTGGTGGAACGTCAGACTGGACAGCAGGACTCTGACCCCTATTCTCCCATCACCATCGACCAGGTGCTGGAGACGGTGAATGGCCAGAGGGGACTTGTTCTGTACTACTCATTGGCTGCTGGCTACCTGTACAGCTGGTTACTTGCTCCTGGGGCAGGTAAGGCTCCTTTCTGTAGATAGAGGCAACCAGCAAAGCCTGTAAAAGGGGAATCCTAGAAATCAGAGTTGGGGTCAGACCCATTAGAATCTCATCCTGTTCTCAGCCCAGAGAATGGGGCCTGGCAACCAGTCCCTCACTTGGTAATGGGAAATGTTCCCTGGATTATGCTGTCTGCTTTGCTGCCGCATCCTTCCACGCCCTGCTCGCTGACAGTGCTGTGGCATCCTTACAGGGTGCTTGTTCTGCAGGGTGCCACTGATATTTGTCTCTTGCTGGGAATTCAGTGCTAGGGGGTCATTCTGATGCTGAGGCGCTGAGGGAATGGAGCCCTTGTCATCTGTCCATTGGGCTTGGCAGCTGCTGGGAGAACATGTTTTCATCCTTTAACTAATATTATCATGAAAGCAGGAAAAAAGGATCATCTGTGTAAGCTGGATGTAGAGGCAGCCTGGCTCGGACTTGGAGGGCACTGGATTGAATGCGGCCATGGTTCCAGTTCGTCTCTGCACTAGTTCCATGGCAGTCACTGGTGTTGCTCTGGGGAGGAATTTGGCCTGAACATGGTAGACACTAAAAGGTGTCTCCATCTGACAGTGTTTTTGGGAGGCCTGGTAAAATGAAATGGGGGCTTCTCCTGTTCCTGGAGTGCAAATAGCTTCTCTACAGAAACCAATGCTGCATAGCACTATTGCAGGTAGGTCAGCTTAGAGCCAGCCATGGAGACTGGACTCTCCTCTTAACTCCAGAGTGGGGGCCTCCCCTCATCAGGGATAAGGCATGCCGATGGTTCCCTGGTGGGCAAGGCTCACACCGCTATGCCAGGCCATACCTCAGGGGAGCTGACATGACGCCGGAGCTGTCTGTCTGGCACCCTGACACCGTGGTTCCAGGCCCACTAGGGGCATCAGCTGGCAGCTCCTCCATGGAGCCAGAGCACAGATGTGGTGTTGGTGTAGTGTACAGTCCCTGACACCTGTCCCTTCTTTGGCAAGAGAAGGAACTAGAGCCTGCTTCCTTCAGTGCATCAGGGTGCTGTAGGATGGCCAATCCTCCCCAGTTGGCCAGGGTGGGATGCTACTGGGACTAACATTGATAGGGAGATTTTACTAGGTCCAGCACAATTAATCATAGAATCCTAGAACACTAGAACTGGAAGGGACCTCAAGAGTCCATCAAAACCTGTCCCCTGCCCTCACGGCAGGATCCAGTACTGTCTTAATCCCTGACAGGTGTCTGTCCAACCTGTTCTTAAATATCTCCAGTGATGGAGATTCTACAACCCTCGTAGGAAATTGGATCCAATGTTTAAACACCGTGACAGGTAGGAAGTTTTTCCTAATGTCCAACCTAAACCTCCCTTGCTGCAGTTTAAACCCATTGCTTGTCGTCTCCTCAGAGGCCAAGGAGAACAATTTTTCTCCCTCCTCCTCATACCACCATTTTAGATACTTGAAAACTGCTAACATGTTCCCTCTGAGATTTTTCTTTTCTAAATTAAACAAGACCAGTTCTTTCAGCCTTCCTTCATAGCCCATGTTCTCTAGACTTTTCATCATTTTTGTTGCTCTTCTCTGCACTTTCTCCAATTTCTCCACATCTTTCCTCAAATGTGGTGCCCAGAACTGGACACAATACTCCAATTTACTAGGTGCAGAGTAAAGTGGAAGAATGACTTCTCGTGTCTTGCTCACAACACTCCTGTTAATGCACCCAAGAATCCTGTAATGACACTACGTTATGTAGGGGAAAACTCTTCTGGGTAGCATCAGTCCGAGTCGGGATCCCTAGGTTGTAGCCTGTTTCCTGCCTCCTCCAGAAACTCCTGTTGAAACTTTGGCTGCACCTTTCCCTGCATATTTGTAGAGCCCTGTATGTCTGTATCCACAATGTATGTCTGTATCCACGCAATGTATGTCTGTATCCACACCCAAAGCCGCAGAAATTAGCCACAAAGGCAGGTACTGTGCATATAAAGTGGCCATCCATGTGGTATGCACAGAAGTAGAGGAAAGGAAAGTTCAGTCAGAAAAGCATGTTCAGGGCTTTGACGTTCTTCCATATATGGGAACGTTTTCAGGTACTTAATTTACCCATTTTTCAACAGCCAGTCTGCCTGGATTTCCCATGGGGCAATGCAAAGAGTGATAATGAGATTCCAAACATGCCACCTCCAATAGAGAATCTTTTATGTAACAAAAAGTCCTCCCTTTAATTACATTTCTCTGCTTTACTGTTCCAAGTGCATTTGACATGTATTAATTGAAGTGGATGCCAGAAAACAGGAGGGCAACTCAGCTTCCTGATACACCATCTCACTGTCTGATCCTCTGAATCTTCTTCACACGAATGAGAAAACATTTATCACAGAGAAGCAGCGCAGGGAGGATTAATTTGAAGAGGATCCCTTTTTGCCAGCAGCTGTTATTCATTATCTAATAAAGTGATGACTGTAAATCTTCATGAGTTCTTTCTGTATATAATTTAATAATTGTAACCCTTCACCAGGACAAAGCTAAAGAGATAAAGAGCACTAATTCAGATTGCACTGAACATACTTCCACAAGGAAAGCAAACACAAGTGCACTTCATTGGTGTGCACAACATATTTGCATGACGTGCTTTTTGCTAGATGTCTCTCTTTGATTTCTTGCTCTAATTATGGATCTGAGTGAAGAGAGGTCCCATTTCTCACATGGTCACTAATTGGCCTCTTACGCTGTACAGTTTGCATAATAAAATGGTGAGGGCTTCACCCCACTGAAGGGGAAGAACTGGGCCTGATAAGGTGGTATCAGCTGGAGGAGCAGAGTTTGTCACTGGCAAACAAAAGATTTAGTCACAGCCCCTCAATCCCACCACAAGCTAGGGGCTTGTGGAAGGGCAGCCACAGCCAGACTCCTCTCCTGGGACACTTGTGTTGGTAAATGCCCAGGCCTTTAGAGGCTGTTCTGTGTAACAGGATGGTGCTGATTATGCTGTCTGCTCAGACTCTTTTCTATCCCCCTTTCTTAGACTCTTATCCTGCAGCTTGTTGCTGCTTCCCTTCTCACTGCCTTACTGTGAACTCTCATGTGGGAGTTCTCAGTAACAGACCACAGCACTCCAGCTCTCTGGCTCCTTCTCGTCTTCTCCAGTACAAATGCAGACATGTGGAGGGCATCTCAGCTTGCTCCTCCTTGCACAGGCAAAATGCCCTCAGAATGCCCCCATCACCCTGGAGCATTTGAATGGGCCCATTTGCTGCTGTTGCTACAAAATGGCTTGCTTAAGTCTTACTATTTGACTGTTCATTCTCACCTGCATGGTGTGCTGTTAAAACTGTCACTGCATACGCGGTGCCCAGGGTAATCTTGAGGGGGGTGATCACAGGACTGTGGTACTGCAGGGTTAACCATATCGGAAAGAGAGTACTGGTTGCCCTGGAGAAGGGTTTTATCTGCCGTAATAGCTGAATCCTGGACAAAACACTGCACTTTCCTGCCTCTAATGTGCCCCGTTATGTACTGTTCCTGCTTTAGTCTTTTAATATGCATTAAGCTGCCTTTTACTTCGTTGTATGAGTGAAATGAGAAATCTCCATGTGGCACATGGAGATTCTGCTGTAGTAATAACATTTTTGTTCAGCCTTTCAGCCCTGAGGTGTCCAATTTATGTGGTCAGAGACTATTAATAGACATTTTTCATACGCTCCTATTGAAATCTGAATTTCCCAAGTAGATGCTTGTGAGAAACATCTGTTTTATAATTCATATGAGGCTGCTGTGATAGAAAGGACCTTCTGAACATCTCATTAAAGCCCTGATCATTTTTCTTACCTTGAGCCATCATTTGCAAAGTACAAAACCAGATTTTAAACAGCAAAATCTTAATATAGCATGCTGGACTACCTCCTGGAGAGCCCTCTGGAGACACGGCGCCGCATGCTTCGCTCCATTGCTGCTGGAGATGTCAACCCCTCAGGACAGTTGTACTGCTTTCTTTGGCAGTTTCTGGCAGCGTGCTCCCTTCCCCACAGTTGGTAATGCTGGCAATGAATATCTCCTTGCAGGAATTCTGAAATTTCATGAATACTACCTGGGCGATGGCATGGCAGAGAATGCCGGGGACATCCATGAAGCAAGCAGCGTGGCCTTCCAAACAGTGACTAATTCTGCTCTGGATCTCTACATCTCAAGTGTGCGAGAAGCACTGGGCGTGGACTCCTACTACACCCGGTGAGTAAGGGGTTCACACCCTGATGCTCCCGCCTGGACGCTATGTATCCAGACAGCCTGAGAGGAGCGGAGACGGCTCAGAACTCTGATTCTGTGGGCCAAATTATAAATGAGCTTCAGCCAGGCAGATCTGTTTTGTATCTGGTGCCATCTGCGCTGCCAGTACTAGAGTATGTGCATGCAGATGGGGTTTCTACTCACAGCCTTGGCAGCTAGATGTCTCGTTATGTGCTAGAGATGGGCAGATTGCATTCACAGCTACCCATGTAATTAATTTCCCCTCAGAGATTGGCTCAGGAAAAATTGCTGTTGTAACTTGGGGGAGAACATTTTAGAATTATGTCCATTTATGGCTGGGTCTCAGCAAATAACTCACCATTCACCTGATGGTGAAAACTGGTAGAGATTTCCTTGAGTTTTCCATTGTACAGGTATATTCCACAAATATTTTTGCACAATTTTTATTCTATAGATTGAACACCAGTACCCTAAATTCACGCTGCTTGCTTAACAGTGATGGGTCTAATGAGCCACCTGGTAACTTTTTGATTCCCTGAGTGGATGAACACATCAGCACTTCCTGAACTGAGCTCAAACAATTACCCTTTGTCCTCTCCAAACACTTCAGCCAGCAGGGTGGACTCTAGGGCATTTCTACCCTTGTGAATTGAATAGGTAGGAGATCCTGCCATAAAGAACATGACAACACTTAGGCCATATCTACACTGTCGCCTATGTTGGCAAAATTTATGTCACTCTGGGGGATGAAAATGCACCCTAGTGCAACATAAGTTTTTCTTCAAGTGCTTGCTCATGTTGATTCCATTATAGGTGTGCATGTGCCTGCTGACATGATTGTCGGAGATTGTTGCCTTAGTTGTATCCACGGGGCTGATTGTGTTGCCTCACTGAATACCACATTCATGCATCAATATATCAGGTGCTGCCAGCTGTCCACACTCTCAGTTCCTTCTTACCACACGGTGGTGGTTATTGGGAGTGTCTTGCCATGCATGGCCAGGGCCAACAGTTTCTCTAACTTTGAGACAGAGACCGGAGGGCTTTGTAAATAGTTTACTTATAATTGTGTTAAGTAGTTTTTCAGTGTTAGAGACCCATTAGGACTTCATCCTAGGTGACGTGTGCCTTGGTCTCCAGGAATTAAGCCCTCCTCAGGCTGCAGCAAGCCTATGCCTGTTAGTGACCCTCCACAGCAGCCATGTCAAGTGCCAAGAGGAATTACATGTGAAGGAGACGTGTTGAATCTGTAAACACGTTTTGGCCCAGGACCCTGAAAGAGTGCGAGGGCTCTCCTCATGGAGACTATCTTAACACCAGCTTCCAAGCTGCCCCAGCTGGGCTCTGCCCCAATTGCCTTGGCCTCGGTGAGCAGCGCATCCCCAGCATTAGGCTCTCGCTGACACTGCAGAAGAAAGGCCATAGGATATTGGGCAAAGGAGCCAGTTCAAGCCACCCATCTACACCAGGTACATGGACTTGCTTCTGCAATCAGGGCCCTTAGCCCCCAAAGCACTAGGGGGCCCAGACTTGTGGTGGGACTGACTAGGGATGAAATAGTCTAGTCAATTAACCAATTAACCCATAAGCAAAAGCTTATAGGTTAATGCCAGTACATTTTTTATCAGGGTGGCCAGCAGCCCAGCTCAGTTCCAGCTTGCACTGGATCCTGGACCTACCCCCACTGCAGCTCCGCATTTAAAGTGTGTTAGGAACTAGGCAGGCAGGCAGCCTGGCTCAATTCCAGCTCATGCCGGGTCCGGGTGCTCAGATCCCTTCCCCCTGCACAGGGGCTGCCCAGGGACTATAGACTAGTCAACTAACTGGTAAGAATTCATGAGGTTCATCGATTATTCAATTGACCGATATTTAACATCCCTAGGACTGACGCCTCCCCGTGATCTCTTCCTGCCTAAAGAGCAGAGGCCTCTGCCTGGGCCTCTGGCACTGCATGCACTCCAGGAGACAGCAAAGGCTCTCTACGAGGCCACAGGCCAGGTGATCGCCGGCAATCTTCCGAGCTTTGGAAGTGCCTTTCAATTCCTAGGCACAGGTCTCAGAGGCTTGCCCAAACACCATTCGCAGTCGCCACCCGCACTGTTTTCCGTACCACTAATCCTTCTTGGAGTTGGCCCCTGTCAGCTGCGCTGTAGGACCAATCTCTATCATGGTACTGGTCCTCCCCAGCCCTGGCACCGATCCTCTTATTTGAAGTGACAGGTTCAGAGGCATAGAAGGAAAGGGATTTCTCCATCATGGAAGGGCAGGTTAGCCCCTGCCAAGGCACTGCTGGTGCGATTGTGCACCAGAGCCTGCATGGACTTCTATGGCCAGTGCAGTATGTGGGGCATGCTTGTGATGCTAGTGCTCCCTTCACACCACTCGTCAGCTTCCACCTCAAGAGCAAGAGCGGGCACTGGGCTTGGTGTGAGAAACACACTCGGTGATTGGGGTAAGTGCCTGCTCCCAAGCCTTCTTGCACCCTGGGGGATGATGCTCCAGAGTCTCCCTCAGCATCACAAACATCATCCTCATCCCTGGATGAGGCAGTCGTGGGACCCTCGAGGGCCAGTCCACCTGACTTTTCTAAAGAGTGCCCATCCCTGCTTTGACTGATGGCCAAGAACTTGGGGCTAGAGTTGTCTGAGCAGATGGACATGTTGTTAAATGTGCTCTCGGCATCACCTCCTGGCCTGTGCTGCACTGTCAGGGTATATCTAGACTACATGGCTCCATCGACGGAGCCATGTGGGTTAGTTTACTAGACATAGGAAAATAAAGCGGTGATTTAAATAACCGCTGCTTCATTTACATCAAAATGGCCACCGTGCTGAGCCGATCAGCTGTTTGGCGGCACAGTGGGGAAGCCTTTGTCGACTGTCCCGGTAAATCGCATTCCACAAGGCATAATGAGGCGGTTGACAAGAGCTTCCCTTGTCGACCGCGGACCGTCCAGACTACCGCGCTGTGCCTCCAAACAGCTGATAGACGCATCACGGCAGCCATTTTGATGTAAATGAAGCGGCGATTATTTAAATCGCTGCTTCATTTTCCTATGTCTAGAAACCTGATCTACATGACTCTGTCAACGGAGCCATGTAGTCTAGACGTACCCTCAGTGCACAATGGCATCCTGAAAATTGCCACAGCCCTCTGAGAAGCTCCCACCCAAAAGGGCTGGAAGGCCCAAAGGTTTTGAGAGCCTGTAAACCAACCTGCCCACCTCCAGACTCACTGGTTGTCTCTGCAGCCAACAAAAAGGACAGCAAAGACACACAAGTTCAACCCGCAGAAGTTTTCAGGAGGAAAATTTACTCTACAGCCAGCTTGCAATTTGGGATGGTGAAACACCAGGTTCTCTTGAGCAGATACAGTTTCAGCATATGGGACTCCCTCTGTAAATTCATGGAGTCCCTCACCCAAGATCTGACCTAGCAATTTGGCTCCCTCAATGAGGAGGGTACCATGACAGCAATGTGCTCCCTTCAAAAGTTGGGAAGCGACTGACTGGCATGCAGGGTGGTTGCACTGGCATTGGTCATGAGGCACAGCTCCTGGCTTCAGACTGCTGGCCTGTCCCAAGAAATGCAGACTTCAATCCAGGACATCCCATTTGATGGGAATGGACTTCCTGCAGAGTAGATGGATGTGAGGCTGCATGGGTTGAAAGATACTCAGGCCACGCTTCACTTGTTTGGTATACATATGCCATTATCTGGAAGGAAGCAATTCTGGCTGCCCTCGTTGTCAAGGCCTTGGCAACCTCTATATGGGTCTGCAAGGAGAAGAGAGATGTGAGCTATAATTGTTGCTGCCCTTCCTCGTGCTGCTCACCTGCACAGCCCAATCCAGCAAAGCACCCAGGGAGGAAGAGGTGATTGTTTTGAGGGAGTGCTCAAGAGCAATGCCCCAGTCATCTCCCTTGGCTAACCTGGTTCTTTCCTGAACCATGCCACCCCTCCTGTTTGGCCTGGTCACAGGTTGCCTCACACCATGGCATGCTGGAGATAGTATTTTGAGTTGTGTCCCAAAGTTCTTGCCCCCTCCACAGCACCCCACTTCCATCTCCATTCCTCTTCAGAGGTTCTTCTCACTGTCTCAATGGCCAGCACCAGCTGCCCCATTAGAAAGGCAGCATAAGGGGCACCCTGAAGGTAGGGAGGTGGTGGGGTGGTAGGTTCATGCACCCGGGGACAGTGGAGGAGGTCCCTGGGACATTGAGGGACCGAAGTTCTAATCCTGAAAGCAAAAGGGCATCTCAGGCTTATTCTAGACTTGACACCTCAACAAGACTTTCATAAAGTGAAGTTTTGCATGGTCTCCCTGGCCTCCATCATCCACTCCCTGGATCCGGGAGACTGATCTGCCACCCTCAACTTGAAGGATGCTTATTTCCATATCCAATGGTCTTAGACCCTTCCTCTGTTTCATGGTGAGCAGACACGTTTCTAGTTTATGGCATTGCCCTTTTGTCTCTCATTGACCCTGTATGGTGCCAGTGGCTGCTTATCTGGGATGTCAAGGGGTCCAGGTTTTCCCATATCTGAACAATTGGCTCATTAAGAGCCCATCTCTGGAACTTGTGCAGAGGAGCCTCAGTCTGATGCATTCTGCTTGCTGCTGCCTGGACCTGTTAATAAATGACAAAAAATCCACTTTAAGGCCTGTGCAAGAGATAGAGTTCATTGGAGTGGTTCTTAACTCCATGTGGGCCAGAGCCTTCCTTCCAGAGCTGCGTTTTCAGGCCATGTCTGACCTGGTTTCCCATGTGAGAAGTCACCCGGTCATTACGGCTCACACCTTACTGTGGTTGTTGGGCCATTGGCCATGTGCATATATGTGCTTGGTCATGCTCGGCAGTGTTCCCTGTAAGCTGAGTGCTTGGGTAGCCACCCAGGAGAGTCAAATGCTGCCCAGCTGATTAGCAGAGCACCCACAGAGCCTACATCCGGTAGCTTGTATTTCTACTGGTGGTGCACAAC